ACACACAGAAAAAAGAGAGAGAGAGAGAGAGAGAGAGAGAGAAGAAGAAGAGAAGATGTCGGAAGGACCATCTATGAGGCAGGACCGCGAGAGCTCGGCAACTCCGTGCGTACTAACTTTTTTTTTTTTTTTTCTTGATGAAAAAAATGGGCCCAGTGCCCAATGCTCTGACTAGAAAGACAGTAGTCCGTAACTAACGAGTGCAAGTAATTTAAGTGAAGTGTTGAAGATTTCGTCGAAACTTCAACGAAGGTTCCTTTGTGCTGGATGTGGATGTGTATACAGGTATATATCGTACTACGTCATCGGGATCGCGAGTGCAGCTCACTGGGAGACTACGTTGAGGCTTCACTCCTGCCGCCGAGTCCGGCGTGTGTTGTCTTTCTTGTCCTACTGAAGACATAACCCTGCGGGCAGTAGAGCGGGAGGGGAGGGGAGGGGAAGGGAGGGGAGGGGAGGGAAGGGGAGAGAACGGCGGAGCCACGTCAGCAGTGGAGCTTCGTGGAAGAAGAGAGTGGCAAACGGCATTTGCACAAGAGGTGCATAGAAGAGAGAAGCCAGAAGGGGGAGGTCGGGAGGGTGCGCAGGGGGGTCCGCAGGGTGCGCAAGCAGGTGGGGGGAAGCCCCACTATAGTATAACAGAGGTGTGGTCATCATGGGAGAGGCTTGCGTTCCTGTCGTCATTCCGCGCCGAGCGCTTGGCTCGCAGGGGATGGTGACGTCAGCACAAGGGCTGGGCTGCGTGGACATGACTGGCTGGTATGAGGGGGCCAAGCCGGAGGAGGAGATGGTGAAGGTGATCCGCCACGCTGTGGACCTCGGGGTGACCTTCTTCGACACGTCGGACGTGTACGGACCGCACACGAACGAGGTTCTGCTGGGAAAGGCTCTGGCCCCCATCCGAGACAAAGTCGAGATCGCGACCAAGTTCGGGGCCACGCTGGGTCCCAACCACGACGTGACCGTCCACGGCTCGCCGGAGTACGTGCGCGCGGCGGCGGAGGCATCTCTCAAGCGCTTGCAGACGGACTACATCGACCTGTACTACGTGCACCGCATCGACACGACCATCCCGATCGAGGTGACGATGGGCGAGCTGAAGAAGCTGGTGGAGGAGGGGAAGGTGAAGTACGTGGGGCTGTCGGAGGCGACGGCGGAGACCATCCGCCGCGCGCACGCCGTTCATCCGATCACCGCGGTGCAGCTTGAGTGGTCGCTGTGGGAGCGCTGCGCGGAGCAGGAGATCATCCCGGTCTGTCGGGAGCTGGGCATCGGGATCGTGGCCTACTGTCCGCTCGGAGCCGGCTTCCTCTCCGGCAAAGCCATCGAGGAGGAGCTCAAGAGCGAGGGGTTGCGCCCCCTGTTCCCCAGGTTCCAGCAGCTGGAAAAGAACAGAGTCTTCTACGACAGGCTGAAGGCTATGGCGACCAAGAAGGGCATCACGCCGGCGCAGCAGGCGCTCGCATGGGCGCATCACCGCGGGAACGACGTCTTTCCCATCCCGGGGACGTCCAAAATCGCCCACCTGGAAGACAACATCCGATCGGTGGCCATTGCCCTCTCCAAAGAGGAGATGGAGGAGATGGAAGCAGCCGTGCCCCAGGAGGAGGTCGTCGGAGATCGAAATCCAGCGTTCATTATGGTGACCACGTGGGAGGCGACGCAATCAGGCCAGACCCCGCCTTTGAACGAGTGGCTGGCCACTCACACTCAGCCTGCTTAATTACCACGCTGCTCCTCCTCCTCCCCCTACCCTCCTCCTCCTCCTCCTCCTCCTCCTCCTCATCATCATCATCATCATCATCATCATCATCATCATCAGCAGCAAAGGAGGGAGAACCTGCCTCAACCGTTTTGATAGGCGAGATCTGTCGTTTATAGCATGCTTCTGTTCGTGTGGGTCTATGGTCTTCTGTGTACCCTGCCTCCTATTTCACAATAAGCACACACGATTCATATGCACCCTGGTTATATATATAATCAGCATTGTTCGTCTCACTATGTACTTGGTCCTAAGACAGACTCCAAACAAATCCCACCCACTTTCCTTCGCGTGTATGGTACAAGGGCTTGATGGGTAAATGGATGAGGAGCTGCTATCCGTCGTAATTCTCAAAACCTGTATTTATCTACTGTACCTGGCCCAATTTTAGGCCTGATTCACGTGATTCCCGCAGTTTATCCTCCTAATCTGATATTTTCTCTGTGCGGGTGGAGGCAGGTTGTTGTCTCGTACATTGCTCTTGGGTCAAGTTGGGTGTTTCTGTCTGTCTACCTACATGCCATTGGGCTATATTCCTGGCCACCGATCTTCCCCTGTCTGGCTTTTAGAAGGCTGTTTCTTTTTTTTTTTTTTTTTTTTTTAATTTTAATTCTAGACTACCAGAGTGGCCCGGGACCACTTGCCCGGCCGGGCCAATAAAAAATAATAATAATAATAATAATAATAATAATTTAATTTTTTATTTTAAATTTGGTAACGAATTGCGACGTGACCCTGAGTCAAACGTTGTTCAGTTGATTTTTTCTGCATAACGTAGTTTTTTTTCGGATTTTTTGGATTTTTCTTTTTTTTTTTTAATCTTGCTTGGGACCTTCCTGGGTCCTTGCACGGCCGGGCCGCCCGGGAAAATAGCGTGACCCGGGCGACCCGGCTGGTAGCCCAGTAATTTTTTTTCCTTTTTTTTTTCAGAAGACTAATTTGACTTCCTAGTGGGATACATACTTTATAATAAGCCTCGTGCGACTCACTCTGCACTTGGTCCTAATTCCGTCCACGTTCTTTTTTCTAGTATGGTACAAGGGATCCACTGGCCAACGAAGGAGGGGATTAGTATTGCAATTCGGCGGACATCTCCGCTGGAATTGCTGGACACGAAGTGGTGGGGTGGCCCAAACTGCCTGCTTCAAAATGTATCCTATTATTCGAACCCCTCAGGATGCTTTTTGGACAGGAAGTGGTGGCCAAAACTCCCTATCTTCATCTTTCTTTTCATTGAGAAATGAGAGATCATGGACTTCCTTCTTGCTATCCCCCTTGTAATAAGAGTGTGATCAAGTCATCAGCAATTCGCTGGGTCGGGTATTGTTCCCTTCCTCATCGCGCAGTGTTCCATGTGTCCAAGTCTGTTGTTTGATGACCCTCCGGCCGTGCACACAAGGGCAAGATTTACACCCCTCTAAATCCTCTTTACACCCCTCTAAATCCGCTTTACATCCCGCTAAATTTTCTTTACACCCCTCTAAATCCTCTTTACACCCCTCTAAATCCTCTTTACACACCTCTAAATTTTCTTTACACCCCTCTAAATCCTCTCTCTCTCTCTCTTTCTCTCTCTCTCTCTCTCTCTCTCTCTCTCTCTCTCTCTCCCCCGCGGGTTGTTTCGAGCGCGCCGGGTACAAGTGAAGCAAATTCGGAACGAATCTTGCTCTCGAGTTCGGGGAGATTCGTTTTCCAACCATGGCGAGAGAGAGAGAGAGAGAGAGAGAGAGAGAGAGAGAGAGAGAGAGAGGACTTCGGTGCACGAATTCCCCGGACTCTCTCTCTCTCTCTCTCTCTCTCCATCCTCCCCCTTCCCACCCCGCGCGGTTGCGCCAGGTACATGTGAAGCAAATTCGGAATGAATATTCCCCGAGAATGCGGGAATATTCGTTCTGTTTTTCCAACCATGGGGAGAGAGAGAGAGAGAGAGAGAGAGAGAGAGAGAGAGAGAGAAATCTGCCTTCTGGGAATACATGTTCCCGCTGTGCAGGGAGAGATGTGCGGCCGGGGGGGCGGAGGCCAGAGAGAGAGAGAGAGAGAGAGGTCAGATCGTCAGCGCGTTCGACGGGGAAGCGCCAAAATGCTCGGGTGAGTCGTGTCTCTCTCTCTCTCTCTCTCTCTCTCTCTCTCTCTCTCTCTCTCTCTCTCTCTCTCTCTCTCTCACCCTCTTCCTTCTCCCCGCGTGCTCGGGTGAGTCGTGTCTCTCTCTCTCTCTCTCTCTCTCTCTCTCTCTCTCTCTCTCTCTCTCTCTCTCTCTCTCTCTCTCTCTCTCTCTCTCTGTGTCTGTGTGTGTGTGTGTGTCTCCCCCCTCTTCCTTCTCCCCGCGCGTTTCTTCGTGCAAAGTGGGAATGAATCTTCCTGCGAAAGCGGGAAGATGCATTCCCGTAAGGCAGATTTCTCTCTCTCTCTCTCTCTCTCTCTCTCTCTCTCTCTCTCCACACACACACACATGCGCCAGGACTCTTCTTTTCCTTGTTTGTTGTTTTTTTTACGTTGAATTTCATTTGCTTTTTACGTTTTTTTTTTTTTTTCTTCTTGTTTCTAGAATTCCGCCGACCGGGCGTTCGCAGGTTGAGGTCTGCGACCTCCCGGTGTTAACAGCCGGAGCGTGGTCCCACTAATCACGAGGATCGGATTGGATGCCTGAATCTGGACGTGTTTGTGCACAGCTGCAGGAAATCGAGATTGAACTGCTTTTCTGCATCTTTGCGTAAGGCATGTCCAGATTCAGCCATTCCATCCAATCCTTTTTGCTCGTGGGACGTCGGCCCCGGGGAATGGTTTCTCAAGCGGGGAAACGTACTGGGCGGTTTGAGATTTTTTTTTTTTTTTTTTTTGTGGTTTGAGATTTCGCTTCGACTTTTTTTGCATTCACTAATCAATGATGGTTTTCAAATACGCAGCGTCTTATTTTTTGTTTTTTTTGGGCCTGTTTTTGCAATTTGTGGTCTTTTAGAGATTGCGTTTTAGAGATTGCGCTTCAAGATGCTGTTTTATTGACAAATGAACGACGGTTTGAATAGAAAATGAGAATATTTATTTATTATTATTATTATTATTATTTTTTTTTTATTTTATTTTTTTTTTCTGGTTTGCACTCTTCAGAGCATACTCACTGTTTTCGAAAATAGGGGGACCTTAACTTTCGTTTTCAAAAAAAAAAAAAAAAAAAAAAAAAGGGCGACCTTACACTGTTGTTATTGGGGTTCGAACAGGGGGACCTAACTCTAATGTGCTGGTAATTCACTAATTTCGTTGACGACAGCATTTAAGATGCAAATTGTTATTCAAATAGATGCAGGGAGGTGACCCGGAGGTCCTTTCTTCTTTTTTAATTTTATCTCTCGGACGTTTTGATGATGAAAAGGACTGGAGTTCCCATCACTACATAGGCAAGGGAAAAAAGAAAGAAAAAAAAGAAGACGTAGGCAGTGTTTCTGTTGCAGTTGGGAAGCCAAAGGAAGAAGAAGAAGAAGAAGAAGAAGCAATGGCCGACACTTGCTCCTCGAACACGAAGTGAAGTCTTGCAATGTATTACGCGTTCCAACTGACTCAGTACACGCACTTTCCCCGACGACCGTCTGCGCTACGGTCATCCTCAGGGGGCTGTCCGCAGTCCCGCCTTACGGCATCCACCTCATCATTCCACCAACTGAGCGTAGAGGGCCTTCACGGCCTTGCCCTCTATATGCGCATCCGTCGAGCCCAGCGTACCTATGAGCATGCCGGTGACGGGTCTGGTCTCTACCGCCAGCGTGCGTAACTGACTGTGATGTGTCCTATCGTTCCATTGGCCCGCACGACTCAACCCGGATCGATGCCAGCACTTCCCGTATGACGTGCTCCTCCGTTGCTTTTTCTTTTCCCGCCTGGTGCTCTCTGTAGGTTCGTGCTGTCCACGTGCCTTTTCCATAACTAGCTCCCCCCGTTTGAATTTTGAATTCGAAACGTATTTCTCTCCCCGCCTGTCCCCTCCCACCCCCCAGATTGTGCCGCCGAACCCCGCTCCCGGCTTATTCCAGGTATTTCCCTGGACTTTCTCGGCTTATTCCAGGTATTTCCCTGGACTTTCTCGGCGTAGCCGAATTAATCCCGAAACAGAAAATTTGGTGTCCAGAAGCACTCGAGGATTTCTGATGGCGGGAAATAGCTGGCCAGCGTCCAAGGGAGGGGATTTCTATCTACTTCTTTGTTTTTCCATCCGATGGCTACTGCCGAACCTCTCCTACGCTACTTACTGTACAGTACACCGTTGCTGCGGCTGAAAACCCCGGTCCCTGGCGCTGTCTTGTCCTAGGCCTTACCAACCGCTTACCAAAATTCCTATGTTAAAATTTCTCATTTCGTGGGGTTGCCTTCTTCCGTATAGAATATAGGCCTGTAGTCAGATAACTGCCTGTATTGCTGCCGAGTCCCTATTACATCCTAGCTATTTCGCTGTCATCGCACGTGGTCGCCGCGGGTACCCCACCTTTTAATCCCAACTTGCGGGGGTCCATGTCACCCAAAAATTGGCGATCTCCTTTGCTGACGTGCCCGTAACTTGTATTTCCGCTAAACCACGGCCCTCTGGGCGCCTATCCGTAAGGCACTCGCAGGTAGCCATGGTGCCCTTGGCAATTCCTGCCAAGGTCGTGGAGAAGAACGCCGGGGGATAACCCCGGCGTGCCAGTTCTCCTCTAATGGCGAGCAGGGGCAGTATCTCCATGCTTGAGGCATTACTGGTCTGCCTAATCCTATGGACTGCGCATTACTGGTCTGCCTAATCCTATGGACTGCACTGCTGATCGCTCCAGACTTAGCTTTCTTGTCTGAGTACGAGGCAAAATCTTGGAATGCCCTGAATGGCAGCACTTCTCCCGAGATCCAGTCCTGGTTCTTGGTTTTTGCCTCGACAAGGAATCTGACGGGGTTCGATACAGCCGTAACCCTGGTCCCGATAAACTCGATCGTGTTGCTGTCATTATCCGTTCGTACCAACTGCAACTTCGCACCATAACATCTTCCGAAGTCCTCGAGTATCTCCCGCACCATAACATCTTCCGAAGTCCTCGAATATTTCCTCCGCTCTCCTGAAAGATGCTTCGTCACTTCTGTCCACTAGCACTGCCATTGCCGCATCATCCATGAACCTTGTACCGTAGACGAGCTTCCTGTCCTTACCTGGTGCTGCCATGAATGCAGTTTCATATCTTGCACACATTACGCAGGCAAGTGCCGGGCTGGTGTTCTTCCCCATGGGTATGCCTACCGCCTGCCTGAGCAGCTTGCCTCCGCATGTTGTGAAAGTATGCTCCAGCTCATACCGTACATACTCCCTAATACGCTCGAACTTGATCTGCACATATCCCGCACCTATGCTCTTCCTATTAAGCACTACCGTCTTCCCTCTTCTGCACACGCTAACCTTTGTTCTGCCACGTGCCTCCCATTCTTCCAGCAGCCAATTTACGCCATCTAAGATCGCGTCATGCAGCAGTGACGTAAACATTTCCTTAAACCACCGGTCCCCCGCCACAGAAAACCGTTGGTCCCGGTGAGTTAGGGGCGGGGTTTTCGGCAGGTAGTCGCCCGTAACTCACGGATGTACCGAAGTCCCAGGCAAGTAAAGCAAGGCCCCACTCCGCAGACGGCGGACGACGGTGGATTCCATCGACGGCCGTCGCGACGTGAATCCGGTTCAGTGTGCGGGGCGCCGCCTAACCTGTATCGGACATCCTGGCGTTCGCGGGAAATGAGGGCCGAAGGCGAAAAAAAAAAAAAAAAGAAGAAGAAATTAGCGGCCGCGCATTATTTTTTTTTTCCCCCGTCATTACGGTTGTGCCTGTACTGTCTATATACAAGAATGTGAAAACACGTTCCCAAAGTCGGAGCAGCACCATATCTCCTTTCATCCCTTGGAACTTCCTCTCAGCAGATGCGAGCTTATTCTTCAGCCGCATTGTAGCATCGAGAGCCGCATTGTAGCATCGAGGTTGAAGTGTTGCGCCTCTGGTAGTCTGATGAGAAGCGCATTCAACGCTCTGGCTACCCGCCTACTTCCAGTCCTTGTGGGTTCGCAATTTGCGGGTGCGATCGGGCGCCATCTTCCCAAATCCTTATGCTTGGGAAGTACGTACGCGGCGCAGCGTCGCCCTTCCAAACCTTCTCTTCCCATTCCAGGCCGCAATCCTCTTCAGCCCTGCTTGCTTGTATTCCTCCCTCGCCTTCTTGGTCGTACTCGCTCCCGTGCGCATCACTGGGGTATACGCGGTGTTGAAGATAAACATCTTTTCCAACCCCCAATGGTACGTAGCCGGGCACATCAGAGCTAAGTCTCCTGAGTTTCGATCTACAGGCACCACTACTAACCCATCGAACTCTCTCTTTAGTTGCTTCACCTCCGCTTCCTCTATCACTCCCGGCTTATCTTCCCGTCTGGTCTGCAAACAGTCCTGCACGCTCAACGATTGCTCTGTTGTCTTCATCTTCCCCTTCAGCACACCTTTCACCGCTTGAAATATTGTAGACTGGAGCTGATTCTCTCGAAGCTTCCACGTCGGCCTGGCAATGTTCCTGCTGTTCGTCAGCTCTGGTCGGATGTCCGTCAATTCTGATATTCGGGTGAGGACGTGCCCTTCGCTACGGGGAAGCTGAAAATCGCTGCATGTACACTTGCCTTCCGCAGACCTCGCTACCGTGTAGTGGTTACACAACAACGAGGCAACTGTCTCGTTCTTCCGCCAGACTACCATCATCTTTCTCTTCAGGATGCTCTTGATAGATCTGTGCAAGTCCGTCTTCTCCACTTCTTCTGCTACTAGTACCCGCACCTCCCTTTTCTTGATAGTGCTGTCATACTGTAGTGCGATTACAATTCTCCTCCGAATGTTGATGCCCACCTTGCCCGATACTACCTTGCCAATCGCGTCTTTGAGTTGTTTCCTCGTACTTTTGGAGTGGAACGCACCGGCGCCTGCATATAAGTGCATGAGCTTGTCTACTTCGAAGCCCCATAACTCCTTCCTCTTCCATGGCAGCCTAAGCAGCAGCTGCAGGTATCCTTTCCTCCTTTCTTGCGCATTCTCTGATCTCTTGATTTGCGTAATCCAGAAACTTCCTTCCTCCTGTAAGATGCTCTTTGCTTGGGCAAACGGCAGTTTCTTGCCGTTGAAATGAAGAACAGAGCTTCCAAACACTTGCTTAGTAACCGCCCAGTCCTCTCCCCAGATGCTTCCTCCATGGCTGCTTATCTTGATTTCTCTCCTTGCCTCTGTATGCGCCTCTTTGAGTATCCTCCTCAGGCTTGTCGTCTTCTCCAGGTAATCTTGTCTAGTGAATGTAATCAGCCCGTTCTTCTGGTCTCCTCCTGATCTCTGCTTCCCTTCCCTTCTAGCTGCCGCTAACCTTTCCCGCTTCCCTTTCCTGCATCCCTTCTTCTTGGATGTTGTACCTATACAGTTCAGCGCAGGGGAGAACTGCTTGATCATCCTGCTTTCAAGCTTCTTGAGGTCCTCCACCTCCACCGCCGCTATAGCCTATAGGAACAACCACGTAATTGTTCCAGCCAAATCTACTCATTCATTTATACAAAAGGGGAACTCTTCCTCTATCCCCAGCGACAGTACAGCGAACATGCTCCCACCATCGCTCTGCTGCGTCCGACGCGTGCGGTCTGCCCAACGTAAAGTTTTCTACACCAAGGCGAAACCAAGCAATACACGACAGGTTGCTTGAAATTGAAAAAATCATGGCCTTTAGGTATCGCGTTGATAACCTTCTTGGCCCACGGAATTTTTCCTTTTCGTGCTAGAAGTAGGCAACAAGCGGTCAGTGCTTTCTCTATTGAAAGCCTGAGCTTCGACAGACCAGTATGCCCCCAGATACCCTCTCACAGCTTGCCAAGTTCCGCCATGATCCTCCATGTCTCCCTATCCAGGGGCAGATTGGGAATCTTCTTCGAAGTCACTAAGGCTGCCGTCGTGCGGCTTCGCCTCCTGATCCTCGAAGCAGCCTTCATATGCCATCTTAGTACGGATCCTCACCAGCTCCTTGACTGCTTGCTCCTTGTTGACGTATTCGATTCCCTCCGCTTCACACAATCGCTTGAGCTCTTGTGCGGTCTTCTCTGACAGCCTCTTTTGGATGTTGAGCACATATTCTACCATGCCTTCGCGTCCGTTTGCCGCAGGCACCTTCTTTTCTACGCTGTCCTTGCTCATCCTCGGCTCGCTATCCTGGGTGATTCTGCCGCCTTCTTCTGTATCACTAGGTGAGTGCAGTCCCCTAGCTACTCTCCTACCTCTGTTCCGTCTCGTGAATGTCCATAGCGCCCTCTCCTCTGCGTCTCTCGATGTCTCGGCTTCGCCCGTTAGGTACTCTCGGAGGCAGTCTTCATCTACCGCTCGACTCTTCCCTTTGGATTTCTCCTTGGGTGTCTTGCTGCGGACACTCAGCGGGAGCTTAATCTCATTCTTGACCTCAGCTCTGAAGCTCTGGAGCTCACGGGCCACTGCTGCTATAGTCCGCATTTCTGATTGAATTTCCTCGTTCATCCTTCTGAGTTCCGCTTCCCGCCTCTCCTGCTCTAGTCTCCTCCGCCTCTGTTCTGTTTCCATTCTCTGCCTCTCCTCCTCTTGCCTTTTCTTTTCTGCTGCCTCTTGCAGCAGAAAAGAAGGTTTCAGTCCGGAAGCCATGAAGGGCTTTTTTTTTTTTTTTTTTTTTTTTTTTTTTTTTTTTTTTTTTTTTTTTTTCAACAAGAGCTCCGGCATGATCCGGGTACACCGGCCAGGTTCATGCCTGTATCGGGTCTACAATTTGGATGTTCGAGTTCGAATCCTTCTATGCGTTGTTCTTCTTGAAGCTACCGTCTTCCCCCGAACATAACGCACCCTAAAAATGAATGTATACGAGCTATATTTCCAGCCAGATACAGCCAAGATAAGGGTGCGTTGTGTTCGGGGGAAGACGGTAGGCTGGAGGGTGTCAGTCCCATCGGAGGTGTACCAGACTTGCATAGATGCTTCACTGACCCCGAAATCTCGAGTTCGGTTCCTTTGTGGTAATTGTCTTTACTCTTTAGGACTCAAAACACCCACGGCCTACTGCTCCAGGTGATCACTGTGTACTCAGTGACTGGCCTCTACAACACCATGGACTTTTTTGGGGGGGGGGGGAAAAGAAAAAAGGACTCAAAAGCTAGGCCACCAGCCGGGCCGCCCGGGTGCGGCGGGTGGCCAGCCCGTGCAAGGACCAGGGAAGGCCCCAGCAAAAAACAAAAAAAAACAAAAAAACAAAAAATCAAAAAAAAAACTATGTAGAAAAAATAAACTGAACAGCTTTTGCCTCAGGGTCATATCGAAATTCTTCACCAAGTTCAAAATAAAAAGTACAATTTTTTTTTTTTTTTTTTTTTTTTTTTTCCCAATKTTTTTGGCCCGGCCGGGCAAGTGACCCCGGGCCATTCTGGTAGCCTACCTCAAAAGTAGTTCTGTGTTTGGGTAGTCGGTGTTGTGTGACCTTTTTTTTTTTTCAGCTCATCCGATTACGCACACCAAAGGAGAGGTTGCGTGACTTTCATAGGCCTAGCGTCTTATGTCCACAACACGCGGGGTGTATAGACCCCTGAAGACCGCTGTGAGGCAGGCACAGCTGAAACTGTGGGGCCCTCGCCGCCATGTACCTCCACAAGTTTTTACTCTTTTGTTTGAGAATGGTGTGTCTTCTTCCTGAGCTTCTCCTCTTCTTCCTCCTCCTCCTATCGTCTTCCTATTCTACGGCTTCGCCTTTGTCTTTGAGGAGAAGTTATATCAATGATAGTCTTAACGGGAATTCAAACAGCCCGGATAGTACGCTAAGGTCCCAAAGCAATCACTTAGTGGGAAAGGAAGTGATCGAGCAATAGTAAAAACGCTGCCTTCGTCCCCCGAATACAACGTACGGTCATTATAGCTGAATTTGGGGCATCTTTCAGTCTAAATACACCTTTAATGACCGTGCGTTGTATTCGGGGGAAGAAGGTAGTACCTGTTAATGTACCTGCCTTGACTGAAGACGCCAGGCCGAGGAGTGCTGTCCGGCGGGCAGCCGAAGTTAGATGCTTCCAGGGGCCAGGTCCCACTAGCAAAAAGGATAGGATCGAGCGCCTGAATCTGGATGTGGTTTATGCAGAGATGCAGAACAGCAGTTCAATCTGGATTTCCTGCACATCTCCATAACCTCGTCCAGATTCAGGCATTCGACGATCCGATCCTCTTTGCTAGTGGGACCGCGCCCCAAGAGAAGTTTAACGATCCGTGTCTGTCTTCTTCCTACGCTTCTCCTCGTCTTCCTCCTCCGTCTATTCCTCGTCCCCTTCTCCTCTTCTCCAATGTCTTCTTCCCTTCTCGTTGCTTGTTAGAGTGCTGTGCACTGCTATGAGCTATTCGCCCATGTATATGCATATAAGGCTGTGAGATGTTGGCCGTAATGGTGTATGATTTTTATTTATTCATTCTTATTTATTTATTTATTTATTTATTTATTTATTTATTTATTTATTTATTTATTTAAATTATTTATTTGTTTATTTATTTATTTAGTTTTTTTTTTTTTTTAATGTGAAAGTGCGATAATGAGGTTACCTCTCGTCAAGAGTGGGAAACATATCTGGACGCTACGCCTCCTAGAAAACTCTGCTGTTGTTTTTTTTTTTGTTTTTTCTTTTTATGTGGGGGTTGTGTCATTGCCCACCAACCGGATGTTTGGACGATCCATGGATGAAAGGACAAATTGTGGCTTTTGGCTTTTGTCCAGCGACGGCGACGGCGACGACGATCTTTGTGAAAGTGAACCCTGGACATTAAATATGTCCTTCATTTCTTGACCTGTCCGACCTCAGGCGCTTCAACTATCCTCAGGCTGCAACTACTGTGGTTCGAGCGCAAGTTTTGCCCCAATCTTGTCCGACCTCAGGAGCTTCAACTATCCTCACCCTGCAGCTGCTGTGGTAATATCTTCGTGTACTCAGCGTTTTTCGTACCAATGGAGCTCGAGCTCGAACCAACTATCCTCAGGCTGCAGCTACTGTGGTACTGGTCTTGGATGACATGAAGAAGCAATCACACTCTCTTTTGCAAATGATTTGCAAAGCTACCTCAGTCACAGTGGAGCGAATTCAGATGCCTATTGCACCCTTCCGTCCGCGTGATGGCCCACTCCCACTCTACCTATCCCCAGCCTTGTACATGTACCTCACAATGCAACCTTTCTCCGTTCAATAGGCTAACTCTTGATCGATGCCTATTGAATCAGGTAACGCAGAAAGCGAATCGATCAAGAGGTTCGCCCCGGCGTGAACAATTCGTCAGTCGGTCAGATTTGAGCGCAAGTTTTGCCCCAATGCACAGACTGCCATCCCCTACAGCAGTCGAAGAAATCCCCAAGACAAGTTGAGAATCCATCATTGTTCACTGCACACAACCTTTGACAGTTGTTCCAGCCTCCGGGAAATGACATCATCCCGATGATGGCTGGTGCAGTGACTTATCTACGCTAGGAAGTCTTTTCACATCTTTCCTGTGTGTTCTTCTGTGTATGTGTTCTCTGTATAAGTGAGCTATAGTGCACATACAAGCTGTAGTGTGTGGCGCGCGTGTGTGTGTGTGTGTGTGTGTGTGTGTGTGTGTGTGTGTGTGTGTGTGTGTGTGTGTGTGTGTGTACAATATTATACATGATGCAGTGCGCATACGACCTGTGTGTGTGTGTAAAAGGGACTTTACCCGATTCAGACCCTGTTTGACGAATGCAGCATAGTGGGGTCACTCGCCCAGGGCCCAACTCGTGAAAGCAGATCAACGGACATGTTCTCTGGTTCAAAAGTCACATCCTAGCTAAGTAAAAGTCAATATCACAGGTCACAGCTGTGCCCCTGGAGCCTTGGGCACTGGGCCCGGTAAAAAAAAAAAAAAAAAAAAAAGAAAAGCTGTGGCCCTGGAAGAACAGTTGCAATATTCAGATATAGGAGTCACGTCTGTTCATCCAGGGGGTGTGCAAGTCATGTCTGTTCATGCAGGAGATGTGTCTGTACGTGCAGTATGTGTGTCTGACAGTGTTCGTACAGGATGTGTGTCTGTTCGGGCTGGAGGTGTGCCTCTTCAAACAGAAGTCAAAAGGGTAAGTCCCAGTCACGAATTAAGTCAGAGGGTGAGTCTAGATACAGGCCCCAAGTCCAAAATTCAGGCCTGAAGGCCACAGCAGCAGCAGACCTTGGGGGAAAGGTACTGGGACACACTCTACACAGCCTGGGACAGGGAAAAGAGTCCCAAGGGAGGCTGATTCAGGCCTCGCAAGGCCATGCCATTAGTATAAAGGAGCAGACCAGCCTCCCACATGACAGATCTCCAGTAGCATTGATGCGTGGAAGTGCCGTGGCACTTGTGCGCTACCATGCAGAGGGAGAGCGCTGGCTTGATGCTGCGCAAAGAAGAGAGATGATGGGCGCTGGCATGCTGAAGCAGCCATAGCGGCGCCAGCCTGTGTTAGTAGTAGAAGTGATAGAGTTAGTACATCAGTGAGTGATATTCAGAGTTGATCTTCATGTGTTAGGGAGTGTGCGTAGATGATGTGCGAGTAGAAGGAAGACCAGGGCTACTGTATTGGGACAAAGGGAGAGAGAGAAGACATACAGAGAGAGAGAGAGAGAGAGAGAGAGAGAGAGAGAGGAAGGAGAGAGGGGAGTGAAAGCTTTGGTGACACTCACCTGATAAGCGCCATGCTCTGATTCACCTGATAAGCGCCATGCTCTGATGAGGGCAGAAGACTTATGATCCTGTTCGGCGCTGTTCATTTTGAACTTGTGAAAGACTATCTTAATCTGGTTAATACAATTTGAGCTGAGTTCCTTGGTCAAGTTCATCTCTCATTGAAGCTTTGTGTGAGCTATTGCGATTCTATACAATGTGTGTGAATGTATGATATCTGGCGCACTCCAGCAAGTGATAGCAGACGGGTTCCTTGCATGTGTGTGTGTGTGTGTGTGTGTGTGTGTGTGTGTGTGTGTGTGTGTGTGTGTCTGCGTGTGTGTGTTTGCGCTCTGGAGAAAGGACATCAATGTACTTGGGCTCCCATGATACAATGTATTTAGAAGCTTTTCAACAAGTGGGGCATACTTGTGACATGAATCAGATTCCAGCTGCACTGTATTACTTTCCTCCGAGTTCACTTGCCAATCTGTTTGCGTCATCATGTCATCATGTCATAGCTTTCCTGCTGTTGCTTATTCCACCCAATGCATCCACAATGAGACTGGACTGAACACTGAGAGTTCATAGCGAAGCCATAGATGACCTGCTCCTGTCCGGACCAGAAGGCTCTCATTATGGGTCCCAGTCTTAAGCTATAATTAGAAAAGGATACGCAACATGACAGACCCTTGGTGTTTACCTTCCTGAGTAGTATATGGTTATCTGATGATTGAGGCGTTACAACGTATATATAATGTTTCTTGTCTTTTCTTCTCGTCTCTTTTTTTCTCTTTTCTTTTTTTTTTTTTTTTTTACCACACCATATTCTTCTCTCAATTCATCTCTCCTCTCCTATCCTCTCCTCTCCTCTCCTCCCATCTAGGAGAGCACTCTGCTCTGCTCTGCTCTGCTCTGCTCTGCTCTGGTTTTCTTTTAAAGAGGTTGTCTTATCTGATTCAATGCATTGAGCAGGTGTAAAAATTGTTTCTTTGTCCTTGCCAATGAATGAGTCAAATGCAAATGCAGCTGTTTTGCTGCATCTGACTGCAATTACTTCCAGAGCTGAGCGGAAAAACCACTCAGCAAACACGACTTCTGGTGAAGTTTCATCTGGATCCGAAATGTGTATGTGCTCGACACACACACACACACACACACACACACAC